ACGGGGGGTGCGGGGAGAGGGGTGGGGGTGGGTATCCGGTGCCGGTCCCCTTCCCCCTCGGCACCTGGCACCATCCATCTCCCGCTCTGTCCGGCAGCCGGACATCCGCTCGGCCAGGCCAGGCGAGGAGGCAGCCAGGGCCCGGCACGGCGCGAGGGCACCGCAGGCACCACATGGGGAACCTACCGCAGCAGCTGGCCCTGCTTGGGGCACTGATGCTGTCGGGGGAGCAGGGTCTGGGGCATGGGGTGCCCTGTTGCTGGGGGTTCTGGCCCCCTCAGTGGAGTCGGTGGGGAATGATGGTGGCAGGGTCCCAACTAGGCACAAGGGTCCCCCGGGCTGCTTTTTGGGTGTTACCTGGCAGAGTCCCCTCACTCTGCATCCCCTGCGCTTCTTTCCTGGCTGTGCCATCTGGAGCTGTATCCCTGCCTGGGCCATGTGCTGTGTGTCTGTGCACAGTGTCACTGCATCCGTGTGTGCCTATGTGTGCAGTGACACTGCATCTATGACCATGTGTCCCTGCACACACTGGGTCCATGTTCATGACTCCATGTGTGTCTCTATGTGTGCACCCACCTATGCGCACAGTGCCACCATGTCTGTACCCAAGTGTTTCATGTCTGTGTGCCCGTGTGTGTGTTGGTTCTGCATCTATGTGTTCCTCTGCATCCGTGCCTGTGTCCTTGTCCCATGTCTATGAGTGCCCATGTGCTCCTGCACGTCTGTCATTCCTGCATGTCCATCATTCCTGCATGTCCATGATGTGCTCTTGTGCAGCACAGACATGCAGTGTCATGGCCTATTCCTGTCCCCTCAATTCTTACACCATCCTGCCCTTGCCGAACATCCCTGCGGGGTGGCAGTGGGCCCAGTAACCCTCTCAGCCCCCTGGTTTGCCTAACCCCACACCCCCAGGCGGGCTCTGTGTGAACCAGGAGGAGCGGCTCATCCACCACCTCTTCATCGAGAAAGGCTATGACAAAGACTTGCGTCCCGTCGTCTCCACCAATGAGGTCGTGGACATCTACCTGGCCCTCACCCTCTCCAACCTCATCTCACTGGTGAGCCTCAGTGAACAGTGCCCACCATGGGGTGTCCCCCAGCCATGCCTCGCCCTCAGGGCTGGATGGGTGGGTGGAGCCCTGAGACTGCTGCTCTGAACCCTGTCTGGTGAGGTTTGGGGGTCCTGGGCTGGGGGGCACACCCTGGCATCTCACTGCCCCACACTGTTGTTGCAGAAAGAGGTGGACGAGACACTCACCACTAACCTATGGCTCGAGCACGTGAGTAGGGACAGGTGTCACACCGTCAGTTGTGCCCAGCATGGGTATAGGGTGGCCCAGCATGGTGAGGGGGTGACCTGGAGATCCTCCCCTCCAGGGCTGGACCGATTACCGCCTGCAGTGGAACAAGTCCGAGTTTGGGGACATCGAGGTGCTCCGCTTGCCGCCAGACATGCTGTGGCTGCCTGAGATAGTCCTGGAGAACAAGTGAGCTGTGCCCCAGTTTCACCTCCCAACCCCCCTGAACTGTGCCTGGTGCATGCCAAGGGATCTCCTGGCCCCTTCCTGGCTCTGCCATCACTTTGCTTCTCTCTGGACACAGCAATGACGGGAATTTCGAGATCGCCTACTACTGCAACATCCTCATCTACAACACAGCAACACAGGTTATGTCTACTGGCTGCCACCTGCCATCTTCCGCAGCACCTGCGACATCAACGTCGACTTCTTCCCCTTTGACTGGCAGAACTGCTCCCTCAAATTCAGGTGCCAGGGGCCTGGGTCAGGGCAGCAGGGTGGGCACCCCACCCCCTTGTGCTGCCCACTGCTGCCAGCTGTTGGGACGCAGCAAGGTGGAGGCCTGCAGGTAACTGGCCTAAGTCCATCATGCTGGACTGAGTCCATCATGGTGGGTGGTAGGTGCCCAGCTGCAGCCCCTCACTGCCTGTCCCTCCAGGTCACTGGCATACAGTGCCCTGGAGATCAACATGCACTTGAAGATGGATGCTGACCCAGACACGGGCAAGGAATACCCAGTGGAGTGGATCATCATCGATCCTGAAGGCTTCACAGGTAATGCTTGTGCTCTCTTGGAGCTACCAAGCCCCAGATGGGGAGACTGGGGCTGGTGGGGCTGGTGAGGATGGTCATGGCAGGTGTCCCCCATATTGTGTGCTGTCCCATGTGCCCTGGCAGAGAATGGGGAATGGGAAATCATCCATCGCCCAGCCCGCAAGAACATCTACCCTGACATTCCTCCTGACACCAGTGAGCATCAGGACATCACCTTCTACCTCATCATCAAGCGCAAGCCGCTCTTCTATGTCATCAACATCGTCACACCTTGCATCCTTATCGCCTTTATGGTCATCCTTGTCTTCTACCTGCCTGCTGACAGTGAGTGAGCCCTGTGGCATGTGTGCCAGGCACAGGAATCACATCCATGGGGCACCTCCTGTCCCATACCTGCACCAGGTCCTAGGGCAGGGGGATGCCCAGCACAGGGGCATCCAGGAAGTGGGATACCTCTATGTAAAATACCATCATCCCAGCCAGACACCCTGACAGAGGCACACTTGGGCACAGGATATCCCATGTGGGACCCTGGGGTACTCCCATAACAGAAAACCATATATGGGGCACTGTATGGTGGGAAACTGGAAGGGCGACCCTGGCACTGGGAACCCTGGGAAAGGGACCTGGGGCAAGGTTTGCCCTGAGCATACTTGCTCTCCAGGTGGTGAGAAGATGACCCTGGTGATCTCAGTGCTCCTGGCCCAGTCTGTCTTCCTCCTGCTCATCTCCCAGCGCCTGCCTGCCACTTCCCATGCCATCCCCCTCATTGGCAAGTGAGTCCTGGGTGCAGCAGGGACATCGTGGGGTCCCTGTGGTACCAGAGGGCTGCTCTGCCTGTGCCCAGCCCCTGTTGCAATGCCAGCTCCAGGCCCATGCTCCCCACCAGGTATCTGCTATTTATCATGCTGCTGGTGACGGCTGTGGTGATCATCTGCGTCATAGTCCTCAACTTCCACTTCCGCACCCCAAGCACCCACATCATGTCACACTGGATCAAAGAGGTGAGCAGGTTGTGGGCTGGGGTGGGTGCACTGGTGGGTACAGGGGTGACACCATGCCCCACTGAAGGCATGGGACAGCACAGCCCTGGCATTGCATTGGGCTGTCCCATCTGTGCCATATGTAGTTATGGGCAGAAATTGGGGACAAGGTGGCATCACACTGGGGAGTTGGGCAAGGGACCTGACACTCCTCCTTGTGTCCCAGGTCTTCCTGGAGACCCTGCCTCGGCTGCTGGGCATGACACAGCCAGCTGAGAGCCCGGCAGGTGCCCCGTGCATCCGGCGCTGCAGCTCGGCTGGCTACATCGCCAAGGCAGAGGAGTACTTCAGTGTCAAGTCCCGCAGCGAGCTCATGTTCGAGAAGCAGTCGGAGCGGCATGGGCTGACCAGCCGCGCATCCCCCCTGCCCGTGAGCCACAGCCCCTCTGTGGGGACATGGGGAAGGGTGGCTGAGCAGGGGTCTCCGGGGGTGGCAGCCCTTCTCACCATTACCCTCGCCCCCAGGTTTGGCGCCGCTGAGCGCGGACACAGGCGAGGAGCAGCTCTACGAGCACATAAAACCCGTCATTGACAATGCCAACTACATTGTAAAGTACATGCGGGACCAAAGCAGCTACGATGAGGTGGGGCCACGGGCATCGTGAGGGCAGAGAGGGCGCCCTGTGCCCACTGTGCCCCCCATGGCCTGGCTCCTGGCTTTCTTCACAGGAGGTTGACAACTGGAACCGCGTGGCCCGGACCCTGGACCGCCTCTGCCTCTTCCTCATTACCCCCATGCTGGTGTTGGGCACCCTCTGGATCTTCCTCATGGGCATCTACAACCACCCACCACCGCTGCCTTTTGCTGGAGACCCCTACAACTACCGGGAGGAGAACAAGCGCTTCATCTAGGGGTGTGGGGGAATTCCATGTGCCAGCCTCTCCCTCACCTGCCTTGGCTTGGGAAAATAAAGCTGTATTCTTGCCATGAGGCACTGAACTGGTGGTTACTCTCAGTATCTCCCACTGGGCATGGTGCTCAACCTGAGCACTGTGTGTGCACGCTGGGGAGAGTGATGAGCACTCGGGGCAGGATGGGCTGGGGAAGGGGATGAACCCTTGCAGCACAGTGCCATCCCCTGCAGACCCACTGCATCAGTGCCTGTATTTCCCTCTCAACACTATCCCCAGCCATCCCCACAGTGTCCTCCCCAGTACACCCCATCCTGCAGCGCAGGGCTGGGGGCCCAAAGGGGTGTCTCCTTCCAAGCTCAGCCATGAGGTGTCAGGGGTCTGGTTTCAGGGGACACAGCTGACGTCCTCCCACCGGCAGTGGCCCAGGACAGCTGTCATATCCTCTCCACTGAGCCAGGAATCTCAACGCACCCACACTGCCCCTCCCTTCCCCCTGCTTTCCGACAACCCACTATGCAGGTCCTGGCAGGATCTGAACTGCCAGGGTGGGGGCATCCCTCCCCAGGCTGATATGGTGGGACTTGCCTGCCCTTTCCCACCTTCTACCCCAGGGGCAGCCACTGCCATGGGGGTGGGACAAGAGGTACTTGCAAGGGGGCACCCCTTCTCTGTAACCCATGGACACCTGGGTTTCCACTGCAGGAAGATGCATCCCTCTGTGGGAGACATGGGGAAACTGAGGCTTGGAGCACATTTCACCCTCAGCCCCAGTTCCAGCCCCTCAGGCACAAAATGACAGCGTTTCCCAGCAAACTGGCATCACCCCACCAGTGGGGGGAAGTGGGTGGTCACCTGTCCCTCCCTGGCCCCCGTGGCTGTTGGGAACAGCTGACGGTGGCAGGGGACAGCTGTCCCGTCCCCTTGGGCGCCAGGCCCAGAACACTGCGGCGTGAGCAGCTGAGCGGAGCCTCAGACCCTGCCCCATGACACCGCCATGCGCTGCCACGGCTTCCTCCTCGTCCTCTGCTCTCTGGCAGGTAAGGAGGGTGCTCACCTCAGGGAGAGCCTTGGGGGGCACCTACCTACCTTTGCACGTGGGGGTTTGTCACCCATGGGTGCACAATGTCATGCACCGTCCCACCGGGGAGTCCCCATGCTGGGGCACTGCTGTCCCTGTGTCTAGTTCTAGAGAGATCCCCAGGGTGAGCAGGGTGGGGGACACTGGGGGGGATTCATCCCCTCTGCTTGCACACAGGGGCACTGATGCAACCGTCAGGCACACACAGCAGAGTGTGCACACCCACAGTAATACAGGCGTGGGCATCCCCTTCTCATGCAAGTCCTGTGCCTCCCCCCATCAGCACTATCAGTTCTCAAGGGCATTGGTGGCCCCAATGTCCCCACCCCGAGGTGCCCCCATGGCATGTGCTCTCTCCAGGTGTGGGCTGCAAGAACCAGGAGGAGAAGTTGCTCCAGGACCTCATGGCCAAATACAACCGGCAACTGCGCCCGGCCCTGCGTGGGGATGAGGTCATCGATGTCTCCCTCAAGCTCACCCTCACCAACCTCATCTCCCTGGTGAGACACCCCTGGTACCCATAGTGGGACAGGATTTGCCCCCACATGTGGGGCGGCAGGCAGGGAACTAAAGCCATCTCCCTTTTTCCTTCCATGCCAGAATGAGCGGGAGGAGACCCTCACCACCAATGTCTGGATCGAGATGGTAAGACCCCTCACCTCCAGGCAGGATCACCCTGGGCCATGTTTGCACCTCAGAGAGCACTCCATGGAGGGCTGGCACTGTAACCTGCACTCCCTTTTGCAGCTGTCCCCAGCAGAGTCCATTTTGTGGGCAGCATGGGACAGGCAGCCACAGTCTCCCTCATCTTGGGGAGCACCATGACCCCTCCTTCTCTGCTCTCCTTCCCCCAGCAATGGTCTGATTATCGCCTGCGGTGGAACCCTGAGGATTACGACAACATCCAGCTGCTGCGGGTGCCCTCCACCATGGTCTGGCTGCCTGACATTGTCCTGGAAAATAAGTAGGTGGCAGGGTAATGGGGACATATCCCCACACAGGGGTTGCAGCCACCTTCCTGCCACAGTCTGGGGCTGAATCCACCCTTTCTCCCTCCAGCATTGACGGGACGTTCGAAATCACCCTCTACACCAATGTGCTGGTGTCTCCTGATGGCAGCATCTACTGGCTGCCCCCTGCCATCTACCGCAGCGTCTGTGTCATCCATGTCACCTACTTCCCCTTTGACTGGCAGAACTGCACCATGGTCTTCCAGTGAGCACGGGCATGGGCATCATGGCAGGTCCTCCTGGGATACAGGGATTAGCATGGGATGACCACCTTTGCCCTGGGGCAATGAGCCTCTGGGCAGACAAGTGCCACCTAACTGTTCCCTGCCACCTGGCAAGAGGCACCATGGCCAAGCCATGCACCCCTAAGCAGAGCTGGAGGTGGCCAGTGTGAGGCACTGCCACACTGGCACCTTTTGCTCATCCAGCCTGCTGTATGTTGGCCTGTGCCACGGCCTCATCTCTCCCCAGGTCTCAGACATACAGTGCCAATGAAATCAACCTGCTGCTGACAGTGGAGGAAGGTCAGACTGTGGAGTGGATTGTCATCGACCCGGAGGCTTTCACAGGTAACACTGCAGCCACACTCATGGCACAAGAGTGTCCCACCACGAAGGACACCTAACAGGCCTGATGCTACGCTGGTGGCTGCCTAAAGCAGGGCTGTGGGGACTATTAGCAGCTCCCACCATTACATGGGCACTTAAGTTATTAGTGGAAGCAGGAGTGTGGGAGAGATTTGTTTTTCTAACCCCCCCAGTTCGGGGCTCTCGCTGCCTGGCAGCCGCTCCGGGAGAGCACTGCTCCTGCAAGCTTGATTGATGCTGGGAACGTAGCTGTCATGGCCAAACAATGACGTTTTCCATCACATTTTAATTGCATATTGAAGGAACAAAATGCTTTTTGGGCAGTGAGATTTATTTTTTCATTACCAGCCTGAGTTGCAATCTTGACTGGGAAAAAATCTATCGCTCCTGTGGAGAGCAGGGGAGAGCAGTGTGCTGTCACCCAGCAACACGCTTGGCTTCCCTCCATGGCACCGTGGGCATGGGGAGATGGGGGGACCCCAACTCCACACCTAAAGATGTGGGAGACCTCAAGGGGTTCAAATTGCCCCATATGTGCCTCGCTGCCACAACCAACAGCTTTTTGGGGCTTTTTGCTAAGGCACCACGGCATGCTCATCTCCCACCCAAGTGGCTCTAGCACTGTGCCCAGCCTGGGTGTCCTGTGGGGCTCACACCAATCACCAGTCCTCCTCTTCCTCCCCTCCCTGAACTGAGGGGCTGGCAGCTCCAGTGCCCCTGCTGGGGCAGTGAGACTCACACGGCACTATCATGGTGCAGAGAACGGTGAATGGGCCATCAAGCATCGCCCTGCTAGGAAGATCATCAACTCGGAGCAATTTACCCCAGATGACATCCAGTACCAGCAGATCATCTTCTACCTCATCATCCAACGCAAGCCACTCTTCTACATCATCAACATCATTGTGCCCTGTGTCCTCATCTCTGCCATGGCCGTGCTCGTCTACTTTCTGCCTGCTAAAGGTATGCCATGTCACTGGTGCCATGCCCACTGGGGGCACAGGGATGTGCAAGGAAGCAGCAACACACAAGGAAGGGCTCATTGTACGCCCTGTGCTTGGGGACCATCAGTGTCATCTCTGTGATATTTGGGAGGGAATGTGTGATTGTCCTTGTACCCCACGGTTAAAGCCTCAAGGCAGGACTTGGCCAGTTCAGCTTTAGTGCCAACCTTGGCCTTCTCCCCTCCTTGGCAGCGGGTGGTCAGAAATGCACTGTCTCCATCAATGTCCTGCTGGCCCAGACCGTCTTCCTCTTCCTCATTGCCCAGAAGGTGCCTGAGACCTCCCAGGCTGTGCCTCTCATTGGGAAGTAAGTGATGCACAGGGACAGGAGTGCCAGCCCTGTTGTCACACTGTGCCAGCAGGGTCTCTGGGTGCTGTGCAGCAGCCAGTGCTCAGGGACAGGACCTTGGCACAGAAATATCCCCCAGCTCAGGTGGGGCTGACACAGGGCTACCACATGCCTGTGTCCCACTGCCAGTCCACAGCTTCCAGCAAAGGAGGGCACTGAGAAGGACCTTGCATGCCCACAGCTGTGATCCAGCAGCCCCACGTGAGGCTCTGTGCCCCCTCCCCAGGTACCTGACCTTTCTCATGGTGGTGACGGTGGCGATCGTGGTGAATGCTGTCATTGTCCTCAACGTCTCACTAAGAACACCTAACACTCACTCCATGTCCCAGAGAGTGCGCCAGGTACCTGCCATCATCCCTCTACAATTTATACACAGGGAATGGGGTGGGTATTTGGGGACCAAGGCCATGTTCCTCACAGTGGCAGGCATGCCTTCATCTGAATGCAAGTCCTGGCACAAAGAGGGGCCCCCCCAAATTGATGTCACAGTGCCACCAAACCCCTGCAAACCACTCCCAGCACTGAGGAGTACCAGATGCCAACATCCCAGTGGCACAAAGAGTACCCGGGATGTGCCAAGCAATGTCAGGAGACCTAATCACACCCATTGGGTGCCCTGGGTGGTGTGAGGGGGTCAGATCCCTGCAGATGACACTGTTCCCAGGTGTTCCTGCACCTTCTGCCCCACTACCTGGGCATGCCCATGCCAGAAGAGACCCCTGGGCCACAACGAGACATCCGGAGACGCAGCTCCCTGGGGCTCATGGTGAAAGCTGATGAGTACATGCTCTGGAAAGCCCGGACTGAGCTGCTCTTTGAGAAGCAGAAGGAGAGGGATGGGCTGATGAAAACTGTGATGGAGAAGATCGGTGAGTGCCCCAGGGGGGTTGTTGCCACCTCGCTGTGAAGCTGGGCAATGTGCCAGGTGGTTGAGTGCTCACTGGTGCCCACTGTGCTGGTTCTGCTGCTTGTAGGACGTGGCCTGGAGAGTGGCAGTACCCAGGACTTCTGCCAGAGCCTGGAGGAGGCAGCTCCCGAGATCCGTGCCTGTGTGGACGCCTGTAACTACATCGCCAATGCCACACGGGAGCAGAACGACTTCAGCAGCGTGAGTAGGAGCCAGAGGGAGAGGGACCTGCATGGAGGGCAGTGAGGGCAGCCCTCACCCTTCTTGTGCCACCAACAGGAAAGCGAAGAGTGGATGATGGTGGGACAGGTGATCGACCGTGTCTGCTTCTTCATCATGGCCTCTCTCTTCATGTGTGGCACTGTTGGCATCTTCCTCATGGCTCACTTCAACCAAGCACCTGCCCTGCCCTTCCCTGGGGACCCCAAGCAGTACCTGCCACAGTGATGCCCACAGGTGCCCACTGGGCCTCCTGCCAGGACTGCTGGAGCCAGGGACTGGGCACTCCCAAAGCAGCCTGGTTGGCTGAGATTCTGGTACCAAGCACAGCACAGGAGGACTGGGGTAGTGGGTCTCTGCCACACACCAGCAGTGGTGGTGATGGAGAAAAGGGGAAGACAGGGTGGCCATGTGGTGCTGAACACAAAAATAAAGCCTGTAACAGTCTTGCAAGCTTCTGTTGAATCTCTGCTCCATGCCCATCCGTCTCGGACAGGCTGGCCACACACTTCTAAGCCACAGAGCCCTGTGACACATAGCAGGACTGGATCAGTCAGACATCTAATGGGTTGGGCAGCAGTGCTGTCAGCAAGAGCCACATTACTCCACTGCAAATTTAGTTTCAAGCCCAGGGCAAATGGGGCCCTTGGCATCCCTTGCCATGGTAATGGGGCAGGAGTCACAGCTACAGCCCCCCATTCTGGGGCAACGATGGAGCAATGGATGGGATTAGGGGCAGGTAATTCCCTCTTCCATTTATGATCTGACTGTGGCTCTTGGGGACAGCTAAAGTGCTGTCCTTGACCCCTAGCAAGCAGCTTGAGGTGGGAAGACTCCAGGCCACCGGGCACCCAAACCCTCTCAGGGATGTGTGCCCCTTGGCATTCATCTTGCTACAAGTATCAGCATGTAACTCCCTCCTGCACCAGCGCTCCTTGCCCCATGGGATCATCTCTGTCAAGCACAGTCCCTTCCCCCCATCCCAGCAATGCTTCATCCGCCCCGTTCCCCTCTCTGACCTCTGAGGCCCCCCAGCTTTGTCCCTGCTGGCAGGGGAGATGAGAGGTCAGCCTGGGAATGGTGGCAAGCAGCATCTGCTCCTCTGCGATCCAGCGCATGCCACCTGCGCCTGGCCCCAGGACGTGTTGCGTCTCCATCAGCCTCATGGTCCCAGCACCAGCTGCCTCTACTGCTGCCAGGAGAAAACCAGCTGGTTACTGCCCACAACTGCTCCTGGCAGTGCCACCCAGAGGTGAGGGCACTGCAAGGAGGGAGGCAAACACCCAGCAGCTGAGACTCCACCTCATGGACGCCTGCAGTGTGGTCATGGCCCGGAACTACCCTCGGACTGTGCCAGTCTCTCTGCAAGGTGGCTTTCCTGCTCTAGTCCTGGAAGATGCATTGTGCCCACAGTACCGAGAATGGGTGGATCCAGTGCTCCAGGCTGGCACCTTGAAGGAGGTGGGGATGGTGCTCACCAGTGTAGGCAGGAGTGCCCAGAGGACTTTGCCTGGGTCACTTCCCACGGGGGCAGCCCTGTGGTCATAATCCAGGTGAGGTGACCTAGTCCTGGGATACAGTACTCCTGGCCAGTCTTCTTCCTGGTAAGTGCACAGTACTCCCGTCCCACTACATCAATGTCCTCTCAGTGGCTGCAGGGACAGACTCTCCTAGTCAAGTGTCCCCAGCCCTGCAAGAGCCAGGAGCTGCAGTGAGCTGCCTAAACCACAGCACCAGGCACATCCCTAGCCCCTCAGCTCTCCTTCATCCCTATGAAGATGCAGAATTAATGAGCTCTGATATGTCTTTGCCTGGCCATTTCCCATTGATTCCTGGGTCCCTGTTGCCTTGCTGCCAGGCTTCAGGGCCAGGTACTGTCACCTACTTCTCCCCATTCTATAAAGCTGATGCTTCTTCCATTGAGCTCTGGCCCTGTTATGTCCATACAGCACGAGCAGAAAGGGTTGAGCTCTTCTAGCCTGCCAGGAGCATGTGACCAAAACCACTATCTCCACCATCCCCAAACAGTGGTTTTCTCAGCCCTCAGGAGAACTCGGGGGTTTATGACCACATCAAAGATAAGAATAAAACCAAAAGCGATGGTCAGGATCACAGGTCTCAGGCAACAGGCGTGTCTTGCAGGATCTGCTAGGGGAACACCTTGGAGGTGTACCCTATCAGGTACAGGGTGCTGAAGGGTGTGAGAGTGGAAAAGCCCACCCTGCCCAGTATCAACCTCATGTGCCCATACTCCATCAAGAAGCACTAAGATGAAGCAACATGATCCTCCAAGCACTTCTCAATTGCTTCCCTCCAAAACTGGGGACTCCTTTCTTTCTGTGGGCTGGGAAGAACCATCAGCCCCCACTTGACCAGCTGTGGGTCAGAGACACCCACAAGGCTCAGCATCCCCTTGGGAAAGAAGAGCACAAAGGGATGCTCGTCTTTGGGCTTCAGGGCTGGAACAGGTTCAAAGCCCTGCCATTTTCCCCAAAGGCCAGTTTGCAGGGATCTGAGGAAATTTAAGGGTCGACAAAGCCTTCAGGTTGAGAAGATCATGACTCACTGCAGATTTGGGGTTCCAAAGGCTAGAGGTTTCCTTCCTGAACAGTGAAGATCTGAAAACTTTTTCTAGAGCATGACAGAGGCTTCTTTGTCTCCTTCCTCTCCTAAACAACCCCATACCAATGCCAGGACACAGCAGACCACAAACCAGAAGTCCCACTCACAAAACAGCCTGACTCCATTCATCTCCAAGCCACAGGAGGCACCAGACTTGGTGCTTGGCACTGGTCAAACACTGCTTTTCTCCTGATCTCAGGAAAAGTTGCAGCCTTTAAAGAGGACAAACTCCACACCCAGCCAGCTCTCTCCCTTCAAGGCTGAGCAAGAGGAACCACTACTGAGTTCCTCTAAATCTCAACCACGGTGGCAGTGGGAGGAGGGGAACAGCCTCCCAGGGAAGGGCTCTTCCACAGCTCACTCGCAAAGCATGTTTGAGGGCGAGCACAGCAGGACCAAAGCATTTTCAGATTTAATAGCAAGCTTGCACTCATCAGCACCAGCTTAGACATAGGGCATCAGAGGCAAGAAGTGGGCGAGTACACGAAATAGCAGAGGTAGACGTGATGCGCAGCTGGGCACAACAACAGGGATAAAGCCCTAAGTGATGTCATCTGCAAGAAGCTAAATGCACTGTGAATAAAAGGAGCCTGCAGCTAGTATTTCAGCCTTGCCTTGCAAGGCTATTTTTGCTTAGACTGCCAAAGTGTAATTACAACTAAATCCCCCCTAACAAATACTGGAGAGCAGCAGGGGAGAGTTGTATTTAAAAGGAATCTTAAGCAGCAGCTATAGTAGTACCTGATCACAGCAGGGAAAACAAACTATGCCTGGAAAAGAACATTTGGTTGAGAGCTGGTGACAAACAAGTGGCAAGAGCAGGAACAGGACCATGGGGTCCCAAGAAACACAGAGATGCCACCACAGCTCAGGAACTGCCCTGCTCACTACCCTGCCAGGTGCCAACTGCCTGACCATGCGGAGCTGTCATTGCTGTCGGTGCACTGGATGTCCCTAGAGACAGCCTAGGACTGACGTCCGCAATGTGGAAAACAAACCCTTCAGAAGACTGAATATTTTAAACTGTTTTCCCTGCCAGTGCTGGCTGCTTTTGGTCTGGACTTCAATAGTAAGACAAGGAATTTGCAATTGGAGTCACGAGGTTGAAGCTCTCCCAGTCCCCAAGGCTGGTAATTGTCCCAGACATGGGCTGCTAGTTCTGCGGTCACCACCAAATTGGCCCCAGCAGCCCCTTCTCCTGGGGGCTGCACAGAGCACGAGGGGCAGGAGATGTGCCCCACTGCTGGCCGCAGCCTCCCCTCCTGGGCCCGATGCAAAGGATTTATTAAAAGCGAAAGGCAATTGTGCGATTCCCTAAGGAAAAGGGGAAAAGGCTGGAGCTGTTAATGAGTACAATTAGTGTTGTAGTCAAGCAGAATCAGAGGAAATAATTAGCTCCTATTGTTTCCGTGGCATCCAAATTGCAGCCATGCTGGCTTTCCAGGCAACAACCCATCATTCTAGCCTCACCCCGGAGGACAGGGGGTCACCCACAGCCCCTCTTCTGGTCACAGCTGTCACGCAGCTCTAAGCAGCAGCCTGGGCCATCAGCCTCTTCTGCTAGACCCACTGGGGGCCCAGTTTCCCAGGTGGCTGGAGACCAGCAAGCCCCAGTGCATCCCAGACGCATGCCTGGCCCCACAACCAGCCTTTCCTTGGATCCAACACAGGGCAGCACTGTGGCTCTCCACTGAGACAGCCAGAGTCAAGGCAACTGACACCAAACATCTCTTTGTCCTAATTTAAGGGAAGCTCACAACCCTTACCCCAACAAACAGGGCTGGGCGCAAGGCACTGCCAACCCAGGAGTATGAAGAAGGAGCAGACAAAGCAAGCACCTCAATTTTAAGCAAGATATTACATCTCTATCTCCTTTGTCCACATAACTCCACAGATAGTGCAGCTTGGTCACCACTGGCACTTGTGGTGCTTTACTGCTTCATGTAGGTGGGCAGCTCAGGGGAAGAGGCTTTATGGAGTTGGCAGAAGTAGGCCTGTGGTCTTACCACAGCCTAGAGAAACACCAACCCCACCGAATTTTAGGCAGAGCCAAAAAAGAAAAAAAAAAAAAAAAAGAGACTGAAAGAAACAAAGAGACCCAATAATTTATTGGCAGAACTGAAAGGGGGCATTTGAAAACCACAAGGCTGACTCTCAACTGGGATGCTCCTCCCAGCTGCAGAGAGATTTATAATACTGGTATCCCTCAGCAAAAGGCTCTGATGTTGAGGCAGAATCCCAGAGATTCTGCATGCCATGTAGAGAAAGAGGAAAGTGCTGCAAGATGCGGCCCCGAGGGCACTAATTGAAAGGCCTCCCGCCCCACTGCTAAAAAAAAGTTTGTGTAAGACAAAATCGGCCTCAATTGTCACCACTGCTGGAGGGCTTCAGATGGATCCTTCCCCCAGGGAGGAGTGCGAGAGTGGCCCAGGAGTCCCTTCAGAGGTCGGAGGGCACTGGTAGAGACCTCTCAGTGCTTTCAACATGGAGAGAGGAGCTTAGTGCCAACTCTTGTTCTCACAATGTGATTTTTGTGTTTCGAAAGCTTGAATTATCCCTGGAAGACAGAGGAAAGAATGACGTTAAAGATGCACATTCCTTCTGATCACAGCACCTCCCCATTCTACCCGCCACAGCTACCAGTGCTGCCATCCCAGATCATCACTCAAAATCAATGCTTGCTAAACCTCCTATGCAGATCTGCTTCCTAACTAGACTTTTCACACAAGCCAACCTGTCACTGCAGCACACTTGGAACAGAGGGAGGTCCTGGTTCATCCCCATTCAACAAGGAGAGGGAAGTGTCATCTCCTGTGAGCAAAGCATATGATAGAATCTGGAAACCTCCCTGATAGATTCTGGTGTCTAAACAACTTACAAGACCTCTTCCTTACCAAATGTTTGTCTTTAGGGGTTCAGCTTGGAGCACAAATATACCATCAGACCAACCTCCTCCTGTCTCTCCCCCTTTTATTTAGTCATACTGGCAACAAGTTTAGCTCTCTGGTCTCTCCTACCTTCAAAGAATATCTAATCTTAAAAGGGCATTTCTCTCAAGTTTAAATAGAAGAGTTTCTTCAGCAGCTTTTACTCACATGAGTACAGCCATGTGTCACAGGGGCTACTGACAGAGAAAGGACTGGTGGTCTACAACCTTCATTGGTATAGTCTTGTGCACACAGCAGCAACTGAAGGTGGGGCAGGTCACAGAAACCCATGTTAATACTTACTGCTAGCCTGTGAGCAGCAGCGACAGGCAAAGCATATCTACCCATCAATAGAAAGGTGGTGTGATGGAAACAAATGAGATTACAAATACTTTGAGAGGATAGGTTTGTCAGCCCTTTCCATAACAGGGACAGGGTGGTCAGCTGGCCAAACCAAACACCTAGGGATGCCCCAGCACACACCACACCAAATCAGCAGAGCTAGGTTGAAGAGCAAAGGCAGCAGCTTCAGCGGCAAGGTGCTCTGCAGGACTGTGAAATCCCACTTTAACCCTTGAGCTAGCATGGTGTCCTGCTAGGAGCTGCACAGCAGCTGTACCAGCACAGCCCAGTGCAGACTGGAATGCCTCTGGGAGGTGGAGCTGGAGAGCTGGAAGAGCAGTAGGAAGTAAAAAAACACTCTTTATAGAGTTAAACAAGTTACTCTGCTACGACATGAGAGCAAAAACCATGCTGGAGGTCATCTGCAGAAGACTGGGTTTCACCTTTGTGCTTGCCAGCAGAGTAGGCTGTGCTGCCATTTGGGAATGTGATTCAGGATTCATTAACTTGATTCTGGTTAATTTGCAACAATGGTTTGGCTTTCTATCCCATACTGCACTTCCACCTGTGCCATCTACCTCAGGAAGACAGCACATTTTGGTTAGCTCTTTCTTGGACAGGTTTGTACCTTTTCCCTCCTTTTGCCTTTATCAGGGTGCCCCAGGCCCTCTGCTCAACCCTGCTCAGCACAGGCAACCCAATACAGCTGAGAGCTAAATCAACCCTGTCACTGTTTTCCTATACCCCTGGCACATTTACTGCCTTCAGAGTCTGGTATGTCATGAAGTGAGCTGGTTTCCTCTTCCGGAAGGTCACCTGAATGTCATCTAACAATAACAACACCACTAAGTGCCTGTGTAACCACTGATCCTCACAAAAAGCAAAACCTGTGAGGAAAGGTAGATACTATTTTCACCCATGATTTCAGATCAAGTTATGAGAACACTGCTTGTCCAACACTGTGGAGGGAATTTTGGGATCCTCAGCAGCTCCTCAGAACTCGGCTGTGTTTGAGCAGCTACATACCACTGCCCAGTTCTGGGAACTGAGCAATGCAACTGCTTCCTTCCAGCAGGTTCCTCTGCTCTGGCACTTGGCCATGCAGTGATCCCATTTGGCTACAAACAAACACAAGTCTCATCACCAGGCCTCTCGCTGGCCCTTTTTAAGGAAAGGGAAGTGGGCGCTGGAAGGGAAAAGCAATCTGAGTTGCGAGGTTCCAACAGCCCTGAGCTCACCTTGGTTATTGGCTCTGCACATCTCTGTTGCCACTACCAGCAGTAGCAGGTGGTTGTGTCATTAGCCACAACATTGCTGCTTCTACACCTAGTAGCTACTGTGTGTCCTTCCTGAACAGCTTTTATTGGCCAACTAATTTATTCTGCTGCAGCCACTGTTAAGAGCAAAAGCAGTATGTCAAGCTCCAGGTGCCTCTCCCACTGTCCATCACCTGGATGTGCTTAGCATTCATTTACCACTCCATACCTGCTTACAGTCAACACTAGGCAACACACCCAAGCTGAAGACATACCTCTCAGCCTCCTGGGACCAGGTCTGGGTACACACACACAAGGGCACATCAGCAAAATAGCACACAGCACCACCAAAAAAATGCTGGTGTCTGGTCAAAAAAACCATTAAAATTAATTTTGACCTTTGGGAAAGAACCAATAGCAGAATGGGCCCACCATCAGGCCCATAAGGCAAGAGAACATGCCAGTCCACGGAAGAAGGCTGGAAGCTGAGAGGTATGCCATGAAGTCACATAGGAAGAAAGATGAGGCCCTACCCTGGGTGTGACAGAGGGAGGGGGAGCGTTCGATCAGCGGCCACTGCTGTTCACCAGGCCATGAAACTCCTCCCAGGCCCTGGCAAGCCAGAGGGAAAAAAAATGAAATAAAAAACAAAAAAATAGCACTTCAGATCAAAGGCTTCTTAACTTTTAACGAGAGCAGAAACATTCAATGGCATTTGAAAGGCACTTGTCTTCAGAGAGCAAGGCAATATTCTCTGATAGCCCTAGTGGATAGAAGCATCCTTAAAATCCAGCCAAACATCTGACAGCGCGAGGCAGCTTTAACGTTCTGCACAGACATGAAGCGTTCCCACTGGCTGCTGGTGATAAAGCCACATTAATACCCAGAGACAGGTATGACCTTCCTAGTCACACACGGAATATCCATTTCCTATTGCTAATAAAATAGCCCACGTTACGTCTTTCTGGAGGATTATCACATTCCTTGGCTGGTTAAACTCAGCCAGTTACCAGCCTCATGCTTCACCACATACTGCATATGCAGGTAATCCCCCAGAAGGGGCTTCTTTTAATGCCACATGGCTTAGTTATTAAGAAATTCTTCAATCAGGCAGCAGAATCCAATTGCTATTAGAAAGTCTCATTTCCTGTTGTAAACTTGCATTGCTAGTGACAACCCAGTAAAAACATCACAGCTACTTTAAATTAAAATGTTTTCAGGTAAGTTGGAGGGAAAGGCCTAGCACTGCATTCCCTGGTGGAGAAGGTTTCTGGTGGATGAAGCTACCAGACTGAAAAATTGCTGTCGGTTTTGCGAAGGCAGCGTGCTGAAAGCCCTCTCAGGGAATAGATGCTGAGGTTAATGTGAGCATGACTGTTATCTTCTGGGATCAGAGACATCAAAGAACCTCACAGCTCTCCAAGCCCAACAAAACAGTACTGGTGCACATGCCAAGTGATCTACTGAATCCACAGAATTCCATGGAGCTGGAGGGACCTTAAAGGGAACCCAGGACAATCATAAACTCAGACCACCCTGCAGATTATGTTGCCAGTACTTATCAGCTACCTCACATTTTGGTTTGTGCATTGACTTATCAGGTCACTGCAATGCGAGAGGACGTTCCACAAATGGAAACCCTGTGGTAGTCAGCATCTGCGCCAAGACCAGACCACCAGCCTGGCTCTTACCTGACCCTCAGAGTCAAGCTCCCAATCAGCATTTGCAAAAGCAGCTCAGGTGTCATATGCTCCTTCCCAGCAAAGTCATAGCCCAAATAAACACAGAAACAGTGTGGATACAACTGCCTCTCTCCAGAAGAAAGTTATGGAGAAGAGAAACTCTGAATCTGAAACCCTCTTAGCTGCTGAATTCACATTGGAAAGCTTTGCACATCTTCAGCCTTGTCAAGCAGTCTCCACCTTCATGTCATCCCTTTATGTCACGTGCTTCCAGGCCTTGTATTTCTACCACATTCCCATCACCCACAATCACATCTTCTTTCTTTCCTCTCCCACAGTTCTCCCCAGACTTGTAACTTCTGTTCTCAGCAGAAGGGACACAAGGGCAGATTATTTGTCAACATAATTGATAATTTATTGCCCCTTTCAAACCAAGGAGTTCCCTGTTCCAACATCCCAATAACATCATGCACACAATCCTTCATCTGCCAAGTCCTCACAGACATACAGAAAAAGCTCTTTCAGCCAAGAATTTTTAAGCCAAGACCCTCATACATATTATAGTACTAATGACTCCAACTATCTGCTGACTTGACTGAAAAAATCCACCAGGATGTGTCTGCCCTAATGTACCTAAACTATGCTACAGAGCAAACTGCTCTCCATTCCACACCGAACAAGGCTGCCAGTTAATTTTGCCTGGCAGAATCTTTACAACCTATGACATGCCAAAGGCACAGTGCCAGAGAGTCTAAGAGGCTATTTTTATGTATAGACATTTTTAGTACCTTATTGCCATACTGTCTGCGCAGCGATCAGATACTCAGTGAATTGATCCCCAACACTTAGATTATTCCCATTGAACAGATGGGAGAGGGAAACATTAGCAGGCTAAATAAAGCCAGCCAGAGCTGTTCTTCCACACTCATTCTTGATCCACAACTGTTGCAATTCCCCACCTTCTAGCTCACTGCCCAGGGTCAGGAGCCAGGTAGGGCTATCTATCCCCAACAAGAATGTTGGAGAAAAAAATGCGAAGAAGGTGCACTATCTTCTCATAAAAAAAAAAAAACACAACAAAAAAAACCCAACAAAAAAAAAACCCAACAAAAAAGAGGAAGACTCCAGCAAAAGAGGAAGAGCAGTCACAGCCACTTCAAGGGACTTTCCAAATCACTATTGTGCAAGCAGCACTTGTTTTCTCCAAACACCCTCAATCTGTAAGTCTCAGCAGCTTCCCTTCAGTATTTCCCTGTGTAGCCCTGCTCCTTACCATCTCCTTCCCCAGCTAAAAAAGGATTCAGAGAGCACATAGTGCACTCATGCTACCCCCACAGAACAGGCACCCAA